AAAAAAAAAATTGTAAAGTTCAAAATGTACCATTACCTTATCACCATCAGGATCACTTAGTCTCTGGTGCTCAACACATAAGTGGCAAACTTTGGCCATTAGTTCATATGGATGCATAAATAACCGAGAGCTGAGTAGGAAGGTAAATATGTACGTTCTCTGTGGCAAGAGAAAAAATCATCAGGGTTACATTCTCTCTGAAATTAATATCTTCCCTATATAATATACATCTTATTACATTAAGTTCTCTTGATCAAAGTTAATATGCTGCTGTTTCAAAAGTAATGCCTATTAGCAGTAAAACAGTGTAAGATGGATTTCTCCTTTACCTTCTAATGTATCTTTTCCCTTAAACAATACTAAAAACAACAGAAGTCCAGGATAAATTTGGCTCCTGAAATTACTCAGAGCACATTTTCACATCCATCCTCAGGGAGCCAGGATACCAGGGCACATAAGTCACTCTAGTAAAGAAGAATGAAATTTACTCCAGAGAGATAAATCTAACTTAAATATACCACCCATACAGAATCTGGTTCTGTGTCCAAATATTATGGTAACTCAATGAAGGGCGCACACACACACACACAGACACACACACACACACACACACACACACACACACGAACGACCTCCTTCCCCCTACCCACATTCGGCTCAAGAATTCTCCAGTATCCAGTGTGGTACACTGAAGTTTTTGTGCCAGAACATTCAAAGGCAGGCTTTCAAGTAACCTATTTACTTGCTCAAGGGCTAAGTCATTTGATAAAGCACAATACAACACTATATACTTTTCTTTAACCACATTGTCTCCCAAGAAGCCAGTAATGAAGTAGTGCTTATGTGTTACAATAGTTTCAGACTTCCAATGAAAAGAGAAATTCCATGTGGTTTTATTTTTTCCTTAGGCGCCTTTAGTAGCTCATAAACACTTATAGGGCTAAACAAGGGATTCCTTTTACTTTTGATTACAAGTTTTCCCTGTGTGGCAACACATTTGAAAATGCTACGTAATAAATCACACACAGAGAGATAACTCAGTAAGAAACATTATGGTGAATTACAGTGGCAAGCACAAACTATCCTTTGCACACCAAGATTATTATTACATTTATAAACACAAATAAATGCAGTCTCTAGATATGTTCATGAAATCTTTATCAATAACCAGCTGCTCAGTAAATTTTGTTGTAAGCTGAATGCCACAGGGGCAGCTGTAGCACAGGGAAGGGGGAAAAAAATCACCTGCCTGAGAAAGAAAACCTCTTTTGATTGTTGATGTTGGGAGTGAAACCATGAGCAATACTCAACTATGAATTTCAGTTTTCTCCTCTCTACCCTCTTGAAATTACTGTAAAGACTGAGAAATATATAACAAATTCCCTAGGTTAGAAAGTACTATCTATACAAATATAAGTCGTCAAGTTAGAATAAAAGCAAACATGTCATCTGACGTCCAACCAATAAAGATTTTCATTTTGAGTATAAATCTTGCTCTCTCTTCCCTGTACTTTCCCTGGCTACATTCATTTTTCTCAGCATAGTGATGGTCTTGAAAACAAAAAAGACATTAAATATTCTGGGAGCATCCAATGTTCTCTGACATTTCCATTTAAGGACCAAGTTACATGCACGAATCAAGGCTACAGACACTTCATTTTTATGGTATTGGACTCCCTACAATGTTGTTCCTAACCTGAAAAGAAACTGATATGCAGACTACACCAAGATTCAATCCATACCCAGGCTCGATCTGATCTCAAAGTACTTAATAATCAATATGCAATTTCTTATTAGAAAAATTCCTAGCAACCCAGATATAATTCTGTAGTATCTACAGTCCCTGCCTACTATATTATAATTTCTGCTCAATACTAAGGATGTGTTTCAGAGGAACATGAATACCTACATCTGGATAGTAATCCACATTAGGTACTAAGTGCTGGATGAGTGCTTCCAGAGATCCGGAGAGGAGGTTGTTGTCATGGTAATACAACCCTCCACAGCTGTCCTCTGCAGACTGATAGAGGTTTCGGTTGTAACCACTACTGTCAAACATTGCTGAAAAGGGAGGAGTCTGAGGCATGCTTTCCTAAAATAAATAAAAAAGAAGAAAACATGGTCAGTAACATGTAGTACAAAATGAAAAGTAAGCTTTAATAGGTACTAAACTTTATTTAATACTAATGAGGAAACAAGGAATTTATCCTTTTTTTTTTTGAGACTGGCCGCACCACGCTCAGCCAGTGAGTGCTGCGAGCGCACCGGTCATCCCTATATAGGATCCGAACCTGCGGCGGGAGCGCTACTGCACTCCCAGCGCCGCACCCTCCCGAGTGCGCCACGGGCTTGGCCCGAAACAGGGAATTTAAAACAAAATAGTTTAGGTTCTGACACAATATCAGAACCCATACAAAACCTAATTGCTCTTTGAGT